ACGACGAAACAACGGAGAAGACAGTCATCTTCATCTATTTAACATCTGTGAAGATGTCAACAAATTTATCACAGCTGCCCCGGTTTAACTACTAACGTTGCCTTGACATATAATTATTAACTCGATAAAATCACTCTGGAACCCTTTCTAAAGAAAGGCGATTTAGTGGATTGTTATGTAAATGCTCACTACCTCATAATTTCACATGTTGTTGACCAGCTGATCAAGAGAATACATGATGGTTCTAGCAGGCTTACAGATTGTTACAGCTATGATGTTACTACATCAGACGAAGCCTGTACACACAGATTGCACAGCGCGAAACATAATCCTCAACACAACGGCGTATACGTAACTGAAAACAACGCTACAATGCATATCCACACACAATCTATCTATTATACACACGCAAAATAGCTAACATATAATAACACTTTTTCAGTTAACTGAGCATAAAAGTAGTGGGCTACAACAATAAGCAACCGAATGAGCATTTGAAAGAAGAAAAATTCAACAATGTGTATCAGTTTTCATCTTGGAATGAGTGAGAAAACAAATTTATCATAACATACAACGTCGAGTTTCCGGCTTTTAAAGACAAGAAAGAAATAATTCCCTGTTGAAGTATTCAAATAATCTCTGCCGCCATTTTGACGTAAATACGTCTATACGGAAGGGTCATTCGGCAAACAAGTGAAAGGAAAACGTATAAGATCCATATCAACAATGTGTTAATATGGATCGACAACAATGGTCAGCTTGCGTGCATTGTTATGTTACCTAGGGAACGTCATCTGTTTACTCGGCATTGTTGTTAATATTGTTGTAATTAAAGCTAATATATAAACTTCCTTTCCGTATAGACGTATTTACGTCAGATTCTCCGGAACCTTGGTTCCACTGTCAATTTTTTATACAAAACAATGCCTAAAAGTAATAAGTTTTGAGTAAATAGAGGGAACAATGCAAGCCACAGAAAAAAAAAATCTCATTTATGATATATAAACGAGTGTAGAAACGTCTTTGACAGGCTGTACTGTGCTCCAAGTCTCATAACAGAGACACACGGCGTGGATATAAAGCCAGCGACTGAAGCCAACAGAAACACCGGAAGCAGACGATCACATACGCCGCTGTAGCACGCAGCATACGTGTTGTTACAACCAGATTGTCGCTTTTCGCGCCGGTAACACCGAATACACATAAAAATAATATTCTATCCCGGGAAATTAACTACGCCGGACCAGTTCTGCTGTTGAGCAGTTCAATGTAATATAAATTAGTTTAACACTAGCGTAATAATTGAACCAATTATTATAACAACACTCACTCCCTCATTGCTACCACCCTTTTGAAAAAAAAAATACTCGCAGCGAATCAGTGCCACTACTTAAAATACACATCATTTAAATCGCTCTGTATTAATCAGAGAAACGCAATTCTGATCATAATACCAGTGTATCACCGTCTCTCTTGCACCACGGTACACTAGCTTTTAAATAATAATACGAATAATAATCACAAGTTATAACAATAATAAAAGTAATATACAAAAATTATTGTTCTCTGTACAGTAATAGAGAGGTGGCTTCAACTTCAAACAAAAGTGAAACATGGACGCAGGACAGCACACATAAACTTCATTCATTTTATAAATACATGCAAATTCTTTACATAATACGTGATATCTACACTTATTATCATATATGAGACAATATATAATGATAAAATGCATTTTCTGAAAAAATTAATTAATTTTCGGGAAACTTCATGCATGATTTGTATTTAAATTGGCAGCGTTAAGCTTAAGAATTTAGTTTATTTTTAAAGAACCTGCTTTAACATTCACTAACTCTGAATTTCGCGGACAGAGTGCATTCATGGATTTCAGCGCAAACAGCGAATAATTCCTTAAACATTAACCAACTGATTTACGTATTGGATTCGCGATGGATTTCCTTTGAGGCGAGGGGCTAAATTTTAAATATTATTTAGATGGTCCTCTTTCTTCAAAGGGTGTTTATCGTATTTCTTGTGCTGTTTAATATTTGCAAAGTGCGTGACGGGAAAAAAATTACAAGGACCCAGCAAAAGGTAGAAGCTAGTTCTGTAGAATTTTACACTCAATGACGATAGTTGCCTAGACAGTAAAGAAATTCACGGCTTTATAAAATCCGAAGGTTCATCACAATGTGAACAAAACATCGTTATTGTAAACTATTCTGAACCAGCTCAATTAATCCCAGACCAACGCGCTCCTTATCTATCCGATATTATTTGTCGCTGTATCATCCCAGTGACGCCTAACGCCCGGGAATCCCCAACATGCCCTTCAGTTTTTTCCGTCGTGACAGACATCTTTCCAGGGGGAGGAGGCAGTCAGAAAATTTGCCAACAGATTTACATTTAAGTCCCAAGTTGTTAAACGCTTTTTTATTCACGATATAAATATTAACATTTTAACACTTTAATTGTTGGTATTAATATTTGATAATGTTTCTTTTATTTCAATGGTTTAAATTTTGATTTTTGATTCAAAAATTCAGGGGGGGGGAGGCCGATGCCTGTCCCCCTTCTCCTGCTACCACTACTCTCGTAGTTCCAAATATTACCACCTTCTTCTCAAACGGCATCAATTTATTATCACCATAAACAGCAACACATTAGTTTTACACCAATATAAAACCATAGATAAGGGCACAGAATTGTAGATTTTAACCATATTTTTTAATAGGACACAGTAAATAATAAGATTCGGAATTTAACAGAAACAAGTGTTTTTTTCTCGAATCTAACGTGTTCTTAACTTCATCGCCAAAATCATTTTCATTTGTTGTTCTTTTTATGTTCAGTGACTTCGTTAAACTTTCGAAAGATTTATTTACTACCATTTTATTACATTTTATTTCGTATTATAACGACGAAATTGTTTTTATTTACTAGATATCTGCTTTTTTTATGTGCTCGCAAGATAATAACATGCGAGAGATTTCACAGAGAGATCAAACTGCCCATTCTTCCGGCATCCGTCATGAAAATTCAAGCTTGTCCATGATTATGTTTTTCAATACAAGACAAATCGTTTCACACATGTATACGCACGTCTACAACTATAATGCCACGCATCACGTGGTAACAAAAAAAACAACAACAAAAATTAACACACAGAATGGAAACAAAACGTATAGTCCCTTT